CCTTTAAGCAGCCTAACTAAAAACTGCTAAGAGTTGTGAAACACAAAACGTTGTGGTTTCCAGTTTTACATTTGAGGTTTGATGTTTTCATTTAATGGTATGAGAGCTGGAGAAAGCTCCAGCGCTGAAAAGTCCCTATTAAATCATATGTGGTCAAAGGTCAAGCACTTCAACTCACTGATACAATATACTGCAGATTCCTGCCTAACTGATGGGGAACACAGGAAAAAGTGCTTGGGCAATAAAAGTATTAGAAGGGTAATTATCCTCCGTGGTTGGAACTGCATTCTTGTGCACTGGGAAAAGGTTTTTACTGGCCCTGATGAATTTTTTAAAAGCTGACTATTGTTGAAAGCTGTGTTTAATAGGAAATTGATTAGGTGAGCGTTTCATACAATAAATGGTGACAGTTTCATTGTTTGATGTCCAAAATAAATTCTTTTTATTTTTTAGCAGACATAGTCATCTGTTTAATTTTAATATGGCCAGACCGAGCAGCAGCATAATTATGAGTGAATGTGATGTCATAACATCTGTAACTTTGTTTTTGGAGCTTGTGACATCACACGATTTGACAATATTATTGTTTTTGACATTTATTAACTTACGGGGTTAAAATATTTCAGATACATTTCTGAGATTTCACAGTGCAAACATTTTGTATAGGCCCAATTGTTTGTCCTTTTTCTGTAGTTGCAAATTTTTAATTTGAAAGTTAAAATGCACAATTCTGTTATGCATAGTTTTGATTTTCAAATAGAATGGCAGCTTTCAAGGGAAGAATTAGAGATGGGGGTGCAGAAAGTCTGTGTTGATTTGCAGTGAACTTTCTACACCTCACATATGCAGTGACTTCTTGGCTATCTTGGATAAAGGTTCCTAAACATTTCCTTAAAACTAATCTATTTTCATGTCACATGTGCATGTGTAGTGAGCAGCAAAAGTCAATTTACACCTAGAAATAAAATGACAGTATAGTTTTACTTTAAAATTCAGCTATTTTGAAAAAGGACAGTAACTACAACTCAGTATCAGCAGAGAAGAGACTGTGAGAGTGTATGTAACTTTGGAAGTATTGCGAGTAAAGCAAGGCAATATTACCGTCATTTTTCAAAGCATAAAATAAACCATGCAAAAGTTAGCAACTAACTCCTGACTTTGTAATCTGGGGAGCAAATGTCTTCAGAAGTTGGGAATCTCTGTTGATGAAATGGCCTCATCTCTGTAGAGAAGTGGAAATGGCTAACCTTAATGGGGATCTGGCCCAGTCATAGCTTCTAAGTGTGCCTGAAACGTAGGAACACAAAGTGGGACACTTTTTTTTTCTTCAACAGTGGAGTACAGGCATTTCAGCAATGACATTAACAACGTCATTTTTCTCATTTAGTTTTTTCCTCAGGGGACACCAAACAGCTCCCAGAGGAGGGAAAAAAAGTCCGTGGTTACTTATTCATTTCAGTGAAAAGCAAAGCCCTGGCAATAGGGGTGGGGGCGGGGTGGGGAGCCTAACAGGTTGTGAATTTTCTAGTATGAAAAAATTGCTACCCTCATTTTACAGTAGTAGTTTAAGGGCTGAGAGAGCTGGGCATGGTTTTTCAATTCCCATCAAGTGCAGGCAATTTCAGTACTTGTTGGTTGTTTATATAAACGTTTTTGAGAGGCTTTTTGGTGTTCCTGCTTGTGAATATAAAACTGTGTTTTCCAGGCTAGCTACACATTCTTTTTTGTGGTTTATTTGGAAGAAGGAAGGTCCCTGGGCATGGTGTGGTGGATACTTGCAGTTTCACAGGCCTATTTCCTGGGGTCAGGAGGTCATCTGTGTCTTTTGTATTTAGTTTTAAAATATTGATATTGGCAGTGAAGCCAGGGTGTGTGGAATTATTGAGCCTCCCCTCAAATCATATGCAATAGAGAAAAAGTCATTCGATGTATTGAAAATGACAGCTTTGTTAAGCTCCAAGAAACTTTTCCCTAAACTGCCTAGGATTTTCAACCTGCCACTGAGTTTCTTTAGAAGGGAGGTTAAAAGAAGATCAATATTAGGAGATACTTGAGATGTCAAACTCCTCTCTGGAGGTCATTGAAAGGCTACAATGGGGTAAACACTGATTAAGTTTTTAATATTATACAACTGAGTTTTGAAAAATCTAGTCATTTCAAGCACTGGCATTACTTCTTGAAATCAATAAACTATTTGTCAGAAACGAAAATTTTTTTTTCCTATAAGGAGGCAGGTGATAGATGATCTAGGGAGGAAATCTTTAGGAATTCTGAAATATCAGATTTTCCTGTTGCTGCAGGAACCTTTCACTTCTTTCTAACTCCTTAAGCCAGCTTTTGGGGTGAATGAAATTGGCCTGTCATACCAGCTGTTCTAAGTGTATCACTGTGGGAAAGAGAACAGAATTTAGGAGAGGTAGGTACCAATGTCTGAGAAGTGTCTGGCCCATTTTTACAGTATCAGAAGCTTTTCAGCGATACTTTAAAATCACTCTTAATACCACGACACAGACATACTGGGGAAAAGGGAAAGTGGCTAAAATGTATATACTTTCTTACTTCCTTTTTTTATCTCTTCTGGGGACTTAAAAGATTAGTATTTCTCCAACCAAAGATAGTGGAGGACTAGTGTTGTGCTGAGAGAAGCCAGATGTCCCACACAGGCAAATCCACCAGTCAGTCTTTACAAAGGCTCTCTTAGAGTTCATCCTGGGAAGGCCTGTAGTGACCTTGGCATTGGCTGGACAAGAAGCAGTGTTGTGGGGGATGTCAGCCATCCTGCCTGTGGCTCCAAGGCCTGAGAGGACAGTCAAAGCCACATAAACTGAGCACCCACCCCATAACCCTTTCTGTGGTGATGTCTCTTGCTCATTCTTCCTCCCTATATTGGTTTTCCCCACATCAAAATTACTCCTTTCTCATTTTCCTTTTCCTTGGAAACAAATCAAAATCCCAAACTACCAAGCATCCACTGTACCCATGAAACTGTATCCAATCATAAGCGCCCTACAAACAGAGCACCTGAAAGAGATTTGAACCCCTAAGTGATAGGCCTGGGAGGCTCCAGACTGTCTTCACTTCTCTGGGGTCTTACCTGTGTCTGTCGCTGCTCCTTCACCCCTCCTGTTGCTGCAGCTTTTGTGAGCTCCTCTGTGTAACGGTTGTCAATTTTCATTTCTCGTTTTTAAGCTTGTGAGAAACTTTAGGATGCAGCCTAGTTTTGGTGGCAAAAGGAAGTGGTTTCTGTTGGGAAGGGAAACTAATCTGGGAGGAGGGGCACCGATGTCTGCAGACACTTGCCCAGGGCTCAGCACTGGGCCTCTTTTGCCAGGGGACAGCGGCTGGTTCTGGGATCTCTGGCTGAAAGGAGTGCTCTCTGGGTGCCAGGATTTCACTGGGGGTGGTGTGGTGAGGAGGGAGGGAAGAAGGGAGGGAGAGAAAGGGAGATGGGCACTCGATTTTTTAAAGAGACCCCGAAAAATAATGGTTTCTGTGAGTCTAGGCATTCAAAGAGGTGTGTTCAAGGACATGAGTGCATTTGTGCCAAAGGGAATGTCTTTTATGGTAAATTAACTCCAGTTAAATTGAATATTTGTTCAAAGGGAAACTCTAGTAGTTAAAGCTGGCATTATCAGTAGAGCTTCCCCTCCCCTCCCCCTGTCCCCCTACCAGGTTCGGGTCGACGGTGAGAAAAGGGATGCAGTGTAACGTAGTAATAATGTACAATACAAAGTGATGCCTTGGGATTTTTTTTTTAAACATTTAAACTCAAGAGTGCCTAAAATTTTTCTGAGAGAGAGAAATCAGTATTTATTTGGATTAACCCCGCTGGTGACCTCATTTCTTTCATCTATAAAGACTGTCAACTTTATCCTGGCTTTTCAAAAAGAAGAAATGGCCCACACAAAGGAAATTACCGTCCTTAGAACGCCGACGGGAGGATTTGCCTCTGGGGGAGCAGGAGGCTGCTCCTAGGGGTGTGTGCCCTAAAGGGTTAACTCGGGAGCTCTCGAAATTTCCCTGACCTTACCTGTCTTCCCCGATCCACCGCCCCCCTCTCCCGGGCCTCAAATTCCCACCCCCAAGCGCCTTTCTTCTTTGGACTCGAGGTTTACGGGGGCTGCAGCTGGTAGACTTGGCAAGCTCGCCTCATTAAGAGCGCTCTTTGAAAACGGACTGTGTTTGAGCATTTCCCTAATGAGGACAGGACGGGGTTAAAAAGTGACCATTTCATGGTTGACTTGAACCTGCCTACTTTTCTTGATGTGTCGTTGTGAAACGCTTGATGTGGATAACTCCCACTCGGTGAAGGAAAAGTCACTGGTTCCTTCAGGTCCGCCGAGGGGAGTTGAAGGGGGGGGGGGGGACCATGGGCAGAAGCCGGTGAGACCGAGAGGGGAGAAAGTTGAGGAAAAAAATCCAGATGGAGGGAGACAGGGTAAGAGGAACGGGGCACCAGGGGAGAACCTCGAAACACCCCAGCGGCAGAGTTGGAAGCGGCGGAGGTCTGAGCTGGGGCTGGGCAGCCGAGTCCGATTCGCGGCCCCAGCCGTCCCAGGCAGCCCCCGGCGAGGTAGCCGCGAAGTCCCTGGCACGCACTTTTCCGCTCCATTGTCTGGACGGCCGAAGCTTCCACCTCTTCCCCACCCACCCTCTGCCGAACACCGGAATTTGGGGGGCGGTGTGTGTGTGTGTGTGTGTGTGTGTGCGCCGGGGAGGGTGTGAGCGGGTAGAAAAAGTGCAAGGCAAACCTCCACCCTCAGAAGACCCGCAATCAAGTTCATTCACTTGGGGTCTGCGGCTGGCGGCCGGCAGACGACGGCCGGGGTGGGGGCGAGGCCCTCCGCGCGGGAGCGAAGCGGGCGCGGCCGCCTCTGCAGGGCAGTAGCGGCACACGCACCCCCCGCGCGCGCGCTCGCCCGCCCGCCCGCCCGCCCCGCAGCTCTGGGCGCGCCGCGGCCCCGCCCAGCCTGCACCCCGGCGCGAGGGGAGCCGCTTTCCGCCGGCGCCCCGGCTCCGGGATTTGGGGGTGGGGGGTGGGGACTGGGAACGAGCCAGTGGGGCTGCTGGAGGAAGAGAGCGGAGCCGGCCGCGGGAGGGAAGGAAAAGAAGGGGGAGGCGGCTTCGGCGGCGGCTCGGCCCGGTCCTCCCCACTCCGAGCTGGGCCACGTGCACTAGGCACCCCAGGGAGGGCGGCAAGCCTCGGCGAAGCGCTACGCGCGGCTTCCGAGGAGCAGCCCCGGGGCGCGGGCCCCCGCGGGGGAGACCCCGGCGGGCCCCGCCTCCGTACGCACGGACGCGCCCCAACTACTTGAGCCCAAGTTCGCTCAGGCCCCCGCCTCCAAGCCTCCCCCTCCTCTTTTCAGCCGGCGGGTTTGGCGAACCGCGCCCGCCCGGGGTGTGAGAGTCGGCGCCCCAGCCCGGGCCCCAGGGCGGCCAGGGTGTGAGGGAATTTTCCATTCGTTCCTTTCGCGGGCCCAGACCGGCTTAGTGTTTCTCCCACTCGGATGTCCCCGCGGCTTAAAGAGTCCGCAGCTAGCACCGAAATTTCTCTTCCAGGGCGGGTTTTCGGGTGTGTGTGTGTGTGTGTGTTGTGTGGGGAGGGTACGGGATTAGCGTAAAGGGCCGAAAGATCAGTTTTGAAAGAGAAAAAAACAACTTATGGTTCTGTTGCACTGATATGAAACCTTTAACAAACGAGAGAGAGAGAGAGAGAGAGAAGGGAGAGCGAAGAAAAGAGGGAGGGAGAGAAGCAGGAGGAGGAAGGTGGGGGGCGGGGGGTGTGGAGAGGCTGGTGCAAAAGGAATGCGCATTTGCAGGAGGAGGAGTAAAGCGATGATTGTGTAATTAAATAATAAAACAATCCTTAAGTCTGATTTGGAGAGAGCTCGAGCGGGGTCCGGAGGGTGGAACCGGTGAATTTTTCAACTTACAAGTTTTGCAAGGAAAAAAAGCGACAGAGGGAAGGGGGAAAAGAGCCCAGAGCAGAAAGGAGTTTGGAGCCGAGCGGGAGAGCGGGATTTATCGTTTGGGATTTTTCAGGAGCTTATTCTGATCCCCCTGGGCTCTGGGCAGCGGCAGCAGCAGCAGCCTTCTCACTCGGTCGGGTCAGACGCGGGGAGAGGCGGGCGGCCGGGCGGGCGAGAAGGAGCCGGCGCAAGCGGCGGCGGCTGCAGCCAGGGACCGCGCGCCGGGAGCCTCTTCCACCCGGGAGACCTGCGCTCACATCCCCTCCCTCACCCAGGCCTCTCCCTTCTCCTCCACCCACCCCGCCCCCACCCCGGCCCTCTCCCGCGCGCGCCCCGCCACCCGCGCGCACTCGCTCACGCTCCCTCTCGCGCACACACATGGTCGGCTCGCAGCAAAGTTTCGCTGCGATCGCCAGTCGGGGATCCTGCCGCATAGCTTGGGGCTGTAACCTTGAACTTTCCTAGGGCGGTGACACATTCTCTTCGCTCTTCCTCCCGCCCTCTCTCCCGCGCCCCCCTCCCCGCCTTTTTTAAAAAAGCATTTCACCACCAACCACCACCCAATCCAACCCGCATCGAACCTTCGCGCACTGCCTAGCTCCCAACAACATCAACAACTGCAAAACAGAAAACAAATCCCCAAACCCAGGCGAAAAGCAACCCACACCAGCGGCGGCGGCTGCGGCTGCGGCGGCCTCGGCGAGCACCGCCAGCGCGCTCGAACTGCAAGAGGTCTAAAACTGTAGATTGGATTTCACCCCGGGAAATCTAGCACGCCGAGTGAACCTGAATCTTTGGCTATTTAAGGAGGACTGGGTTTGCTGTGAAGTTGCGGTAATCCAGCGCAGACCCCGTCCTGATTGATCGCATCGCGGGGCTCAGATGACTGTAAAATGAATAGATGAAATTCTTGCTTCTCGAAGATTTTCTTGGGCATCTCCGGGAAAGTGCGTTTTAAGGCGAAGTCATGATGTATTCTCCCATCTGTCTCACTCAGGTACATGTTTCGGTCACTCTCTTAAGCTTTCTCTCTAGCCCGAAATGCCTTTTGTTTTGTTGTTTTGTTTTGTTTGTTTTGTTGCTCTCATCTGTGGACAATTAAAGGCTTTAGTTAACCTCCGCAACCCTCGACTCTCGAAAAAGTGGCCGGGAGTTGCCTCGGGATTTACCCGGTGGCGCGGGAGCCGGTGCGCGGCCCCTAGCCCACGGCCACCGCGCGCGCTCAGCCCCGCGCTCTGGGCACACAGAGCGGGCGCCCGCGTGCTGCCAGGGCGACTGAGCCGGACGAGAAGGCCGACCGTGGGCAGGACCCGGGCGGAGGAGAGCTAGCCCCGGCGCGGCCCCCTGAGTGCCTGCTGCGTCGCGGTGCCCCTGCCCAGGGTGCCCACCACCCCTCTCATTCGCTCACGCGCGCCCTGAGGCGGGCTCGGCTGTAGAGGAGGTTTAGGTGGGGGACTCAGCCCTTATAAACAACCAGTGAACTTGGACGAGGGGACTCAAGCACTAGTCCTTGCGGGCGCCTTTGGACTTCGCTGCAGGCAGTGGTCGGCGACGAAGCCAGTCAGAGGTTGTGGTCCGGGGACTCATTCCTTTGCTTAATTTGGGGATCTAAAATTCTGGTCTTTCGGGATGTGATCTGCATTTAGAGGTTTACAGTGAGCACACCACAAAGGTGGTTTTTACCTTGACACCAAGTAGTTGGTCGTGGCGAAAGTTAAGGACTTTTAGAAGATGTTCCGTGGAGACCTGTTCATTTGACGATATTTAGGTGTAGCTCCCAAGGCAGAAAGTAATTCTGGAAAAGTAAAGTCATTAAAAAAATGAACTTTGAAAATTGTCTCAAGACTTTAGGAACAATGATATGAAAAAAGTCCTGGCTTTATACTTCTTTAAAGAACAGAATTCGTACAACTTTAAACCAGACGGTAAAATGGAAAAGTGGCAAGATGGAACACACTTACCTGGGGTAGTTTTTATCGCTGACCAGCTGACTAACCAACTGAAGAAATAACTAAATATCTTAGTCCAGAGTTGTTATTTTGAAGGAGTATTTTAAACCTCTAAAGGTGTGGGACAGTTTACTTTAGCATTTAGGACAATGTAGAATCACTGGTAATTGATAACCATTTACTTTGGTATTGGCATAACAAATAATTACAGTAGTGTCGCCTCGTCTTGTGTGTTAAAATTTTTTAAAAAATCCAATACCATGATTATGTCTTTTTATAATGGACAAATTATTAAGATTTCAATTGTATGACAATTAGAAGCCATTGTGATTCAAAAGGACTGAGGCATTCATAAATTGTGAATGAAGATGAAAACAATGATAAGGCTTATTCAGTGATTGGATACAGTCCTGTAGCTTTTTGGCTGACACATTTTTTATTGTTTATATTTTGTTTGGCATCTGAGTATGATTAACTTAGATATGGCTATTTTCAGCAAGTAAACGTACACTTTAATTTAACAAAACTGGAAAAATGAGTTACGGAGCTATTTGTCCTTTAAAAGCTATGAATAATGACCAATAAAGACGATGATTGAACTGTTTCAGGTATAACGAATTTCCTGCAGTTGTAAAAGTTACCTTTCATATTACCCATCATCAGGATTTTTTTCTCTTTCTGGTAAACTACATCCATTTGATATTATTTTTACATTATTGAAGCAGTGTTCAAATAAAGTGAATTGAGACAAACTGTATGCTTACAAAGTACTAACTCAATCTCACCTGTACAGGATTACTCTTCTATATTGTTTCTCACATTGGCCTCTGAGAACATTGCTAGTGGTTTACATACATTGCATTTTTGGTTTCCTCTAAACAAGGATTGAAAAGTCACTAACTTTATTTTAATTTGTATATGTTAAAAATAAAATTGCAGCTTTGTGACATATGGAATATTAGTAGCCTATACTGCATCATCATTCAGCTATCATATTAGTATTCAAGAATATACACTTACCAACACTAATTCATGATGACTAATATCCTCTACTGTTTTAATAATGTAAATCTAATGTGAGATAATGTATTAACATTGCTTTGGGGATTTAAGGCCTATACTAGAGAAGGAATTTTTAGTTTTAGAATTCTCACTTAAGTAATAATTTCTGTGACTCTATAGGGAATGTAAAGTGTCGCAAAAGTATGGCTACATTAGCTGTTTCATCGGATCAATAATTTGGTTTTGTATTGGAAGAATCTTATAACTGTAGCAAAACTTTTTTTTTGATCTTTAAATACAAAATAGAGAAACATTTTTAATTGGTTGAAAACTTTACAGAGTGTTTTAGTTGTTGATATAAAGTATCTATGTTTTAGAAAGAGTTTTAGTTCCAAAGGAGCCACAGTTAAAGTTGATATGTAGCAAAATGTTATGCAAAAGGTATCAGTATTTGTACATCAGTGTGAATCGGTATTTGTACATCAGTATTTGTACATCAGTGTGAATCGGATATAAATGGAAAATTAAGAACCATCATGTATGATTTAATATTTGCTTTTTCTAAAAATAATGTAAACGCTTAATAATATAACTTTCACTGGTCATGATCACATTGATTTTTCCATTGTCCTTCAAGTTCTTTAGTTACATTTTTAAATGGTTTATTGTTAAATAGCAATGCTCCAGGAACATCTAGTATTTATTCGTTAACATCTAGATTGGTCTAATTTTCCACTCCTTTCATGGAAACCATTGTTTCTGTGAAGAAAAATCAATATTTTAAGTGGAATCGGGACCGTTAGCTTTTATATTTGAAACTTGCAATTTGTTATTTATTTTATCAATTTAGTTAAACTAGAGGAAGTTTTAAAAGAGAATTACTGCATCTCAATGTATTTTAGTAAAAATTCTGAAAAAGCCATGTGGCATATTAGTATAGAGCCATTAGACTTAGATCACTTAATATGCTTTGCTTTAAAAAATAATCTTCATCATTGTTTAAAGTGTTATTTTGATAAGCTATTAATTAGGACATTTGAATACCTTAATCATTTTTTTTTGGATGAAGACAGTCACTATGCTCCATATTTTTGTCACCTCAAATTATTAAAAGTATACTGTAACTTAGCATTAGAAAACAGTCGCACTTAGGAGATGACATTTTAGGCATGTTAATGCAGAAAGGTACAGAAACGTACATGACACAGCAGACCTCTACTTGTCATCTTTTTTTTTTTGAGGCTATGTTTCCTTATCAGTAAGTGTTTCACTTGAATGGAGTCCACATAATAATAAAGCCCTGAAAGATATTAGGGCAACTTTGTGGACTGTGAAAGTTCAATACTGCTATTTAACAATAATAATTTTTAAAAAGTATATTTTAAAATATTAGCAGCACTGGTAAAAAATGCAAGGCAACTTTTAAAAACATTGCTCTGTGTGCCTTTGCTCAGAAATTCCAAATTCAACCTTCAACTTGCATTTTGATTGTTTAAAATAATTAATTCAAATTTTGAGATATGTTACATGACAGATGATTTGAAACACAAATTTAATCAAAAGTATGTTTGATGTCTTATAAGAAAATGAAATGTCACTGAACATAGTACTTAAGGATGTAAGTACTTAAGAGTTCCCGCATTGCTTAATATCTGTTAAAATAATTTTGCTTCTCTAAAAGCACGGTGAGGGTAAAAGGAGTAAGATAAAGCTGCTCCCCATGTACTCTTTACATTCTCAAATTTTTAGTTTATGAGTGTACATATGTGCACTTTTTAGTCATATCAATAAATCATAGTAAAAGTCAGATTATGTATAGGAAGTGAGTTCCAAAAGCATGTTTAAGTCCACATTTCCTTGAGCAGGGTTTCCTTTTGCATGTATTTCTAAGAGGGATAAACAAAGTTTTTGTAGTTACAGTGGAAGCTGAAAGCATGGCATCAGAAAGTGTATGGAGATAGGGAGGTCTTATCATGGGCTGTGGTTGCTGTGAGCAGGGCTGCCTTCCCACACAAAGAACAGATTGTGGTTTAACTCTTTCCATGGCCTAGTTTAATGTGCTCGCATAGTAACTGAATTGTTCAAATCTCTGCTGGAAACTACTGATCGGTTTAATGATTTCCTCTGTGGCATTTGTTTATGCCTCATGCTGTGATATAATCATCTGTATTCTGTATTGTTATAAAATTTTGATTTATACATATTCTGCTGTAGGAATGTTTTACAGCAATATGTTAAAACACTTGATAACTGCACTATTGATTGGATCAGACATGCATGTCTTCCTTTTCCGAACTGCGAACGGCTAACATGCCGTAGTCTTTAGCAGTGAAACTTTGAGTCTCATCATAAAAATGGATTCCTAACTACATGGGATTCAGGGGCCACCTTCTTTGTTAAAGTGTCATTAGTTGTACTTTCATCATTTTTACCTAATGGAATTCATCAGTCTGCTGGTTAAATAGAATTTATTCCATGTAGTTCAGGGTGACCATCATCAGTCTGTAAATTCTAACTTGGGATGTGATCAGTTAGAGAAAGTTATTTTGTGGCTGGCTGGGGTGACAATACAGTCAATGTGACCAGAAAAGTGGCTGTGGTGGGAATTCTTATTTGCTTGAGATCTTGGCTTATTACCTGCATGCAGCACGCGTGCACAAGATGTTAAGGGCTTTTGGCCCTGCAGGTAGCTCAGTTGGTTAGAGCATCATCCCAATAGGCGAAGGTTCCAGGTTCGATCTCTGGTCAGGACACATAGAAGAATCAACCAATGACTGCATAAATAAGAGGAGCAACAAATCAGAATCTCTTTCTCTCTTAAAAAGAATTTTAAAAAGATGTTAAGGGCTTTTTTTTTCTGAGCTTATGAGACAGGTTTTACATATGGCAAGAGGTAATGAAACTCTGACTGCTTTGGGAAGTAACTTGAAATATTTGTAGGTAAAGATTATCTCCTTGTGCTTCCCTTCCTTGAAAAAGGCTTAGATGAAACAGGCAGGAAAAAATGCCAGAGCCTAGAGTAAAACCACTTAATTCAGGGGATAGGTACTGTGGGTCTGTACACGTGCCGATTCACAACCACATGCATACATGCTCCCATGGTCCTGCCTGAGAAGTCATGTGCATAGCAAATGAATTGTATCGATTCCACAAAAGCAGTAAGTGACCAGGGTGCACTCTTGGTGTCACCCTGCCACCGCATGCAGAGACACAAAGAATGTAAAGTTGGTGCCAAGTTGCCATTTTTCATTGTTCAGCTCAGATTGATTTTTAAGGGGTTTAGAATAATTGCCATACTCATATGATCGGTTAACAAATTAACCGAGTCGGTGGGGCTTCAGACTGTATAGGAAAAGCTGCTGTAAGAACATTCATGCAATTTTCATTTTCAACTTTAGAAACTTGTATTTAAAAATGCAAGAGAGTGTGTATGTGCAAGGGAGCCGGAAAGTGTTGAGTATGAGTGTGTGTGTGTGTTTGTGTGTGTGTTGGGGGCTAGTGGTGGTAGCGGGGGGAACAAATGCCTGCTCAAAGTATGGAAACCTTCTGTTCAGGACACTGATACACCAAGCTGTGTCCTTTGCCCACTTTCCCTCACTGTATACTGGTTTCTCTAGTTACCATTCTTGGAATGGTGCTGTTTTAGTGTTGGAATGTTGGACGTTTGATAAGAAAATGGATCAAGTTTAATGGCGCATGCTCTTTGTGCCACCAGCAGCCTCTTGCTGAGAGCATGCTCCAAAAGCGGGAACTGTGTGGCATTGCACTGAGCATCTATATGCTTTGTGTTTCTGTGCCACAGAGAAGAGAAATGAACTGTGGCACTGCTCCTGCCTTCTGAACAGCTCTGCTCCGATTCAAAAAAAACCTCACTGTGTTCTTTGTAAAATGGTACTGCATAGTGTTAGTTGGTCAATCCAGTATTTAAATATTAAATTAGATGCCAAGCACCTTGGTTGCTTGTGTTTTAAAGAATGTAGGAGGCATGGTGGGAATGAGGGGGATAGGGCCCGAATGAAAATACAAATATAAACCTTATTTTCTTTTTAGGAGGGAGAATCAACCTGTGAATTTTGGTGGAAAAGGGGCAGCTTGGTACACTTGATTTTCTTCTTGTTTTACTATTTTGATCATTTTAAATAAGAAAAGAGTGTTATTTTTATGCATAACTTTTTGTACTGATTTGAGAATGGATAGTGGACTTTTTTTTTTTGAGGCTTTAAAGCTAAACTGACATGTATGTATGTTGTCTTTTCCCCTGTCATCTCCCACAGGATGAATTTCACCCATTCATTGAGGCACTTCTTCCACATGTCCGTGCAATTGCCTATACTTGGTTCAACCTACAGGCTCGGAAACGCAAGTACTTTAAAAAGCATGAGAAGCGAATGTCAAAAGATGAAGAAAGAGCAGTCAAAGATGAGCTTCTCAGCGAAAAGCCTGAAATCAAACAGAAGTGGGCATCCAGGCTCCTGGCCAAACTGCGCAAAGATATCCGCCAAGAGTATCGAGAGGACTTTGTGCTCACTGTGACTGGCAAGAAACACCCATGCTGTGTTTTATCCAATCCTGACCAGAAGGGTAAGATTAGGAGAATCGACTGTCTGCGACAGGCAGACAAAGTCTGGCGTCTGGATCTAGTCATGGTGATCCTGTTCAAAGGCATCCCCTTGGAAAGTACCGATGGAGAGCGGCTCATGAAATCCCCACATTGCACAAACCCAGCACTTTGTGTCCAGCCACATCATATCACAGTATCAGTTAAGGAGCTTGATTTGTTTTTGGCATACTACGTGCAGGAGCAAGGTAGGAGCAAATTGTTCTTTCTTCTCGCACTTCAGACACTGCCCACAAATCCCTTATACAGGCAGAATCTGTGGTTTGGGTTAAATGGTCCTCAAGGCCCCTAGATCTCCTTCTTCACTCCCTCTACAGAGTGGTATGCCCTGTTCCTCTCAGATTGTCCGCTGCTGTGTGTAAGCCCTGGAAGTAGACTTGGAGCTTTCATACCTGGATAGGCATGGACATTTAAAGAAAGACCACAAAGATATGTTTTCAAATGTCTTTGAAATAACTTACTTTATCAATGACACAGGATAGTCTGAAAAACGTGGTCTATTACGCTTTACCGTTTTGTCTAAGGCTACATTGCTTACATCTAGTCATCTTTTCTCAATTTGAAAATGTAACTTTATTTATGAATAGGCAAATTCACTTTACTAGCCTCATATCTAATGAGGGAGATGAACTTTGTTACACTGAAAATAGAATTAACATTTCCTATTACAAAATGCTCAAGATAGCCAATATTGGAGAGTATATTTTATGTAGATCTAAAGTTATTTAATTTAAATATTTCTATCAAACCTATTTTTTATTGTATATTATTCACTGCAGATTAAATGGATTATTGTTGTTTAAATAGTTTTTTATAATATTTTTTCAGAGTGACTTGGGGACACATAATGTTGTTAGTTTACTTGAGTGTAAATTTATAAAACTTACTGAGGAGAAAAGTTGCAGCTATCCTTACAAAACAAAAACAGAAAGTTGACTAGTTACACTGGTTTAAAATAAACCTCAAAAAGAATGCAGAAACCACACACCATACCTGTTTTTTAAAAAATACTTGATAAAGAGAATGATACAAATGTTACTTGAATAATTCAAAAATAGGTGATATTTTTGCTTAGTGTTTTTTTGAGTTGACGAAATATGTTTCTTTACTATTTTATTTTTTCACATGTTTTCTTTAAGGAGGTGAGAATTTCTTTTCTTCAAATCACTGTGTCAGAATATAGATGTCCTTGTATTAGCAACAATCCATAGTAAAACATTATTAAAAAAATGCATACCAAAAGTGGACTGAAGTTTGATCTGCTACAGATGGTGGGTTATTTCCTAACTTGGCCTGGCAGTAGGGAGAATGCTTTATAGATGGTCAGGTGGAAGATGGCTATCTGACGTTCAGTAAATAAATTGGTATAAACTTTATTATTGTCTAAAAGATAAAACTCCAAAATTACTCTTTGACTCAAAAATCTATGTAACTTACTATTTGCTTTTTGTATTTATCTTTCCTTGATACAGTTTTAGAGATATGCTTAAATGTAATTTAAAAATTTTTAGTTTGATTTTAAATAATGGTGCTAGACATCATACATTGCTTTTTTTTAAAAAAAATTATACTTTACATTTATTCTATGCATTTAAGAATTAAACTCTAAGTAATGATGGTTTAAGGAGCACACATATTTCCTTCTTGTGAGTCCTAAAATAAAAGCTCATTGACACATGACACTTAATTTGATTGACAGCTGTCTAGAAGGTGACATTTTAAGGTGGGCTGTACATATGTGTTGGATTGCCTGTAAATGTGTTGTAACTGTGTTGTGAAGATCAGGGCTAGAAGTAAAGTTTTAAAAAGTGGGTCATGTAACTTTTTAGTGCAGTGTAGGGAAGATTTGCAAGCATTTGACTGCTGCTCACATTTTAACTTGCTCGAAGGCTAGTCCTGGAGGTGCGCACGCATGTATATTCACTCCCGGGGCAGGCAGCCAACTCTCTCGGTTGATGAACTGACAATAAAGAACATATCCTTTACTTTTGTGAAGATAGATTGAAGAAAGAAAAATGCATAAAATGCCTTCTGCATTGCACCATCAGTCATGATCCTCATAAAGTTTTAAGCAACTCTTGGAGACCACATTTTCAGAGAAAACATTGATTTTGTTGTTGTTTCGAGGCTGTATCGTAAAACCTTTCATTATTTTACACTGCATCGAATTTGCATCCTCTGCTACCTGCCAGTGCATCATTTCTTCTTAACATCTGGGGGCTTTTTAAAAAAAATCACATCAGGATGCTTTTTTGTTTTCCCTTTTACAAAACTTATATTTTTTCTTTTGGTTAAATAAAGGTTAATTGTGTCATTTCGTAGCACAGTAGATTAAGGAAAGCACCCTAACAGAGAAGGCTGAAGTCAGTCGGTGGGCTGCGTATCCCCACAGTGACTTTTTATTTCTCCTCTAAGTGTGCGAAAACCCCCTTGAGTCTGTTTTATAAATCAGGTGGAGAAGTACAAAGAAAAACATGAAAGAAAAATCAGAAAAGAAAAATGTTATGTTTGCAACAGAATGAGCAACAGAATTACCTTCCCCCCTTTTTTCTTTCTTGCCCCACTTCTAAAGGACTGGGAGGAAAACATGAGAAAGAACAGAGAGAATGCCAAAGATGGTTGCCACTGGCACCAGGATTGGCATCAGACCCTCTTTGTTTAGCTCAGGATGCCTGTGATTTGTTAGTTGGCATCCGCATTGCAGTGTGGAGTGATGTTACAATATATTGACAATTTCCAGATCTGGAAATGTCAATAATCCTCTTGGTTATTTATACAAGATCATAAACTGCATCTTTTCTAAGGATGAAATAAAGACCAACGTATAATAAAGTTCCATTGTTGACCAACTTCCTATGCTTATCTTTTTCCTTCTTTCTCTTTTGGTTCAACCCACACACTTTTTTTTTCCTTCTTCATGCCCAGAAGCCTCATCCTTTTTGAAATGTGGAAAGAGTTACTACTATAGCTTTGACACAAGCTGTAGTGCTACATCTGCATCTGATATGGTTTGGAGAAAAATTTATGCATTTCGAAATCATTTTTGATATATAGTTCATTAGACTTTTGCATCACATGGCCGCAAGGCAGCATTCCCTTTAAAGCTAAATCTCTTTGTTACTCAGCTTCTTCTCTGTATTATGTCCTGGTTGGCCGCAATTTAGTCCATTTTTCAATTTTTCTACATTAGTAAAGGGTTATGTTCAATGTAGTCATTTATAAAATTATGTAACCCCCCATCCCGCTTTACCTGAAATATACACATCGTTTGGGAGTAACTGTGTTTAAATCCATAAAATCATTTGACGTTATTGATTCAGAGGGCTGCCCCTCGGCTGTTCCGTTGCTACAAGAACCGCCATTTTGTTTGTGAAGTGCCAGGCGAGGGGGAAAAAAAAGGCAGACACTGTGCTTGATGCCAATAATGGTTGCCAGTGGCACCGAGGTTGGCATCAGACCCTCTTTGTCTAGTTGCTGAATGCCTTTGATTCGTTGGTTGGCATCCGCATTGCAGTGGGCACACTGGAAAGTTTTTGACAATCCCTGAATGAAAGCTGCTTGCTTGTTTGCTGCAGCAAACCTTAGCTAATATAAAACCCTTCCCTTTTTTTTAAGGTTTAAATTTTTTTTTAAGCCTGTGACAGATTAAAGGGGAAAAATAGCTCTAAAGTGGCCCCCATTTTCCCAAAGATATTAAAGATGTCCAATGATTCCTGGGCAGGTGGTACCTTTTCCCCATATTGTCTTTGTTATTGCATTTATGAAAGCAAAGCAAAACAAAAGAAAACAAAACAAAACAAAAGGCAGGCAAGCCTTACACAGCACACCTTACAGGGACATAAGTGCACCGTAGGGTGCGGGCTGTGCTAGGAGAAGGGTGCAGAGGACCAGCCAAATGTGGTGATATTGGAATGTGTTCGTTATGACTGACTCTTGCTTTCAGTCACATCACTGCTTATTACTTAGACAGTTTTTGGTTCCCTTGATTTTCGCACTTGCAGAATTTATAGTAACTTGTTGAGAGGACCTTACTTTTCTTTCCAGTTAGTAATGTGTAACAGTGTAAATGTTAAAAAAAAATGGGAAAACCTTAATGAGGAATGCTGTGTTTTAAGGCCTGATATAAATCACTACTCCTGAGTGTTCCAATTCTGCATCAAAATATTGCCAAATTATCAGTGCACAGTTCTGCACACCAGTAAAACCAACCAAAAGGCTAAAATAATTTTGGTTGAAGTTTCCTCGATAGTTAGCATTAATATGGCTTTCCAGTTAACCACCATTATCTCGTTAATTAATAAGGATTAGCAGTTCTACCCAAAGGGCTACACAGAAGGAAGTCTGGCCTCTGGGAGGCCTTGACTCACCAGGCAGTGTCCTGCCTGAGGAGAAAAAAGCAGGGTGGGGTGAGGGAGTGGGGACTGGGCTTTTTCTGAGGCAAGGAAGGGTTCTGAAGAATGAGAGAGATCACAGCACACTAAGAAGATTGAAGATCTCAAGAGATAGTAACTGTTGTCATGAATTTAACAGATTTGAGTTTAGACTAAGTCAGTCTAACTGATTTTTGGACTGTACTTTGCACTTTTATTGAACATGTTTTGGAGTGCTCTTAGGGAGAGTCCAGGAACCTCATGGTGCTTATGAAATCACGAGGAGTTTCCTTTAGCTGGTGGTATCCTTAAAATTGTGATCCAATGTTAGATGGCAACTTTTGTTGTTTTATTGTTAAACATTATGATAATTTAAGTACATTTTGAAGTTGAGAAAAATATGACTTGTTTAGAGGGGAAGCTGTAACCGTTATTGTTTTTGAAATAGAATCCTTCCTGGTTGTCACATACCATTAACAAGGAGGTTAAATGCTAGGAATTATTTTCCCCCTTCAGTCACTGACTTTTAGAGTCCTTTTGGGTAATAATTATTTCTCTATAAAAAGCTTAAGTAGATAAGTGTTTGCAAGTTGATAATATATTTTAACATTTTAATAAATTTCACTTCATTTGCAGGTATTTCCCATTATGGGGAAAATGAAGCTTTCATAACTTGTTAAAATGAGGCTGCTCTCTAGGATGAGGAGGTGTGCTGGCATTGTGAAATGCTCAGAGAGCATAAAGTCTGTAAGCATGTTTGACTTAGGGGAACACTGTTCAATTTTCCCATCCAGCATCCTGTCCTTGACTGAACTCAT